CGGGCAGGTCGTGCGCGGCGGGGGGAAGGCGCGGTTCCCGGCCACTCGGGGCGCGTCGTCCACGCGGGAAGCGCTTCTGCACAAAGGGGGAGACGCGCATAAGTTTGCCGCTGGCCAGTGACGCTGGTAGAGCGAGTTAAAGCTACGTGGAAAAACATAAAGAGCCCACGCGCGCATCCCAGGACCCATTCGGTGCGGGGACCCGCAGCCCCGAGCCGCGGGGGGCGGTGCTGTAACCTGAGCGGAGCGCGCGTGGGGCTGGAAACCCAGCGGGCGGCTCAGGGGCTCCAGAGGCGGGGGCGCGCGGGAGCCTCCTCGAGGACTGGGCGGAGCTGCTGCGGTGACCCCACTAACCGGGCGCCGTTAGGACCACTTGCGCGTGGGAGCCGTGTTTACGGACACGCGCGGTGAGGCTGCGGGTCTGTGCCCTGCGCAGTAGGTGGCCAAGTGACGTGACCGATTCCGCACAAATAGCGATTCCCGGTGTCCCGGTCCAGCACCTGCAGTATTTTTAAAGCTTTGCGACGGGTGGGTGGCCCATCGGCCAACATCTTCACATTATATTTTTTAAAAATTCTGTCTTGTATGAGGTTTGGAATCTGTTCAGCACTAGGACTGAATGCAGCAGCTTCAGGCCCTCCTCCCCCTTTTCTCCCCCCGTAAATCTTTAAAAACGCATTCCTGCAGTCTCAATTTTTTATAAGTTTGCAGCTCTTTATCCTAATACTTTTCAGTTAATTCACACGGAATTCCAGCTTCACTGAAGACCACAGTAAATTAGTTGTGTGTTTTGAAAATCAGGCTTCTCCAGAATACAATCCGCTGGAAAACCCGAGCGCACAGAGTGCTTACAGGAATCTTGCTTATTTTTTGTCTCCATCTCTCGCTCCTTAGCATTTAAAAAGAGGAAGGGGGCAGAGCCGGAGGAAAGGCAAAGCTTAATAACCAGGGGACAGTATTTTTTTCTTCCCTTCAATTAATAATTAATTCCTCAGCTGGTGGGCCTGCCCCAGGGCTTCTCCTTGGGGAGGCAGAGCGGGTGGTGCTGGGGTGGGCGTCACTTTCGGACAATCCAGCCACTTCATTTTGGGAGACGGAGGTGCGGGCTCCTGGCCGGGAGAGGAGCCCGGGCTCCGGGCCCTGCGGAGGCCGCCGCGTCCCTGCGCCCGCAGAGCTCCGAGAACCGCCGCGCCTGCGACGCTGCGCGTCTGGAAGTGATTTACCCCCGAGCCCCCCCCAGCTCCAGCCCTGTGATGGACTTTGTGTGCATGTGTTTCTGTCACATACGTGCCACAGAGGAACAGATTTTGTTTTGACACTATTTTGGTTCATGATGTTATACTCTGACTATTTTACAATAATAGCCAATGTAAACAAACATCTTTGGGATTCTCCAGTTTTTCCTCGGGATCCTTGGACACCGCGGCTCTGCGATACCGAGGCCTTCCTGGCTGCCCCCCAAGGACACCTTAGGCTGACCCCGCGCCAGCCCCATTATCTGCCCCGCGGCCGGCTCCGGGCGGGGCGGGGGCACCTGACACCCCGGGAGGCGCGTTCAGGCAGCGCCCCTCCCGTGGTCACTCCCGCTCCCTGATGTAGCAAAACTGCTAAATATGGAGAAAGTTCTCCAGTGTTTCTCTTCGCGGCCCGTCGGACTCCAGCGTCGCGTGCGGCTCCCGGGCCCGCTCCCCGGCTCTGCGAGATCATCTTGGGGGACCGCGGGGCTGCCCAAGTTAAAGACCCTAAAAGGGCCCGAGATGCCGGCGCGTGGGCCTCAGCCAGCCCACTGGAGCTACTGCTGCAGCCGCGCGGGCGCGTCTCGGGTGGGCTCCTAGGCGCTGCGAGACCCGTCGACGGGCCTCTGCGGGTTTGCACCTGAGGCCTGTAAAGTTCAAATGGTCGGCGCTGCAGAAAGCGCCCTGGGTTTGCGAGATGCGTGGGTGGTGGGCAGGTGCGAAGGGCTTCCGGTGGGGGGCCACCCCGCCC